GAAAAAAAACCTTACCTTCTAGCCAATTCCCGCCAAACGAAAAAAACCCTTATCTACACACCAAGTGACATAACCTAACTTTTATTTTCACGTCAAACAAAAAAACCTTACCTTCCCGCTAAATGAAAAAAAACACCTTACCGCCAAGTAACATAACCTCACTTTTATTATCGCGCCAAACAACGTAACCTCATCTTCCCGCCAAGCCTCACTTTACGTATTGCATACGTAGGTTCCCGCCATCTTATATAACCTCTGTAATTAGGTGATACCGCCAACTCTTGCTAAGTGATACCATAGACGGCATAGACTAACTAACACAAGTATACTTCTCATCCCATTGTAAATTTTGAAGCACGTTTTTCGTGTCTAGTTCATGTACGTGACACAAAGGCGCTAGTGTCGACGAAACTTTGTTTCTATTATTTTAGGGTTATTTTCTTGATTTGTGCTTTGCTGTTTGGTTATATAACTAGGGGAAAAGTTATTGTTTATGATTAGATCGTATTATTTGGTTAAACGATGTTTTAAATGGCTGTAATAACGGGAAAAAATTGTAAACAAAAGACGACCTCTACATAAACCGTACAGAACTAACAATAAAATTGTCTTCAGCTGTTCCATAAGGATGAGAAATCTACTAAGGGAGTATGTTTTATCTATGGTGATACCAACGTGGTCATTTCATATATGCTATGTATTGTTGGAATGATGTTTAATCTGAATAATGTTTCTATCTAGTAGTTGGCCGTGTATGAGCCTCTGGTCTCAGAGGTTTGTTGGTTTGAATCCTGCCAGTCACCAAATGTTTATTTCCGGTTGGGGTGATATGTTGATTTTCGGTGTTGTATTGTAGTCTCCTGTCTGTGTATGAGCTTTTGATCCCAGAGGTTTGCGGGTTCGAATCCTATTAGTCACTAAATGTTTCATTTCCGGTTGGGGTGATATGTTGATTTTCGGTGTTGTATTGTAGTCTCCTGTCTGTGTATGAGCTTTTGATCCCAGAGGTTTGCGGGTTCGAATCCTATTAGTCACTAAATGTTTATTTCCGGTCGGGGTGATATGTTGATTTTGGTATGATGTTGTATTGTAGCTGTAGTAGTGTAGACCTTCAATCTCAGAGGCTGAGGGTTTGAGTCCTACCAGCCACTGATTGTTTCATTCTTGGTCAAAATGAGTTTTAGTATGGTATAGAGAGTTTAGTGGTTTAGTCTAGGGCTTAAACCCTACTAGTATATCTAATTGTTTCATAACCGGTATTTCTTATGGTTTTGTAACATGTACCTGCTAAATTAATCAGCTGTGAATTTCCATGCCAAGATTGTATCTGTAACATAACCTCACTTTCTGTATTATACCAAGTCTATTCATTCATATTTGTGACACTGGAGCGCTAGTCTCGATGAAATTTGCCCAGTGTAATTTGATTTAATGATATATTGACTAACAAAGCATCTACAGAATACCTGATAAAGCTTGTTCTATATTAATGACGATAACCTTACTTAAATGATTTATTAATGGTAACCATTACAGACTTATCTGTATCACTGTAACATTTAATTTAACTATTACTATGAGACTAACGAACCGGCACTGAAGATTTACTACAAAAGATTACACCAACATATTAAAAAATGAGTACTGTACTTTTTACTATTACTTGTAATGTATTTTAATACACCCAACTAATATACTATCACTTTTGTGGAGTGTTGTAAATCTGATAAGTGAATGACTTCATCTTTCTGGCATAACATCCGAATTTTTATATCTATGCACTACCTCAATTCAGAGGTTGTGGGTTCGAATCCTATCAGTCACCGATCTGGTTGGGTTAATACTTTGAGTTTTAGTATTGAAGTGGGAGTAGTGTGAACTATGATCCCAGAGGTTATAGGTTTGTATCTTACTAATACCCATCTTCATATCTGGTATTTCTTGTGTAATATGTTTCTGCCAAATTAATCAGCTGTGACATAACCTTAACTTTGAACCTTAGTTATGTATACAGTCTAAAACAAGTATTTTTGGAATTAAACTAGTGTTGATGAAGCTTTATCACTTGTGCTTGAATTATTGAAACGTTGAATAACAAGAAACAAATAGGGTAATTTACCAAGTTTATGGTAATGAATGTAACCTGATTTAAATTAATTACCTGTATCCTTGTAACTTGAAATTGGTACATTACATGTGTACTGTACTGTATCACACTTGTAATATATTGTATTACACTTGTATTGCACTGTATTACATCTGTACTGTACTGAACCCACTTATTACTTGTACTGCATTGTATTACACTTAATAATTGTACTGTTCTAATACACAATAACTTTTATAGAGTTGTACATATGATAACTAATACTGATATGTGTTGACTTTATCACCATCGATTGTGGTTTCTGGTGTAACTTCCTGTTGATATTTTCATGGATCAACATACACATTTATGCACCACCTCAGCAGCTGTTTACTGTATAACTTGTTGCTACCTACATTAAAACCTGTTATAATCCTTGTGTGTTAACAGTTTTCTGTTTAGCTAACCACATAGTAATAATATCAATGGCTTTGTTAAGTGTTTAATTTACTGTCTATGACTTTTTGTTGTTGTAACTGTAAACATACTTTTTTAACTACCTGATGATTTTTGCCTGTGCATTATCGTCTAACATCTTTCTTTATACCTGTCATATCCCAACAGTGGAGAGCTTAGAATGTATGTTGACTTAAGTTATTGAACCTAATGCACTGATAATAGCTCTATGTTTAGATTTACCAGTATACAACTTCTAATGTATCCTTTTTTATACTGATGTTAAATTGGTATTATCTCTGGTTAATAGTGTAAACATTTAGTCATTCCTATATAGTGCTAATGATTATTTTCTATGGACACAGTCTACTGTCCTGATCACCTCTTGTCAAGGTCTATGCTTAAATGTCTAGATAATTTCTGAATGCTATGGTCAACTAGTTACACTTTTCAACAGAATTAGAGTACAGATGGGAATTGGTTAATATGGTTGCTTAAATCTACAGTAAAAGTTATATACCTACCAGGGATTATAGAGAAACAATTTGATTGTACTGTTTATTTTAGTAAATTTATTTCTTATTATGTGTTTGAAATTAGTTTTAGAGCAATGAAAACTAATCATTTTACGGACTTGTAAACATAGAACACCCATTATAAGGATAAATAAAGAACAGAAGATAAAAAATAAAATAAAGGTTGCGTATTCAATTTCTAAATATGTAATTAAACATATTATACCTGGAGTAGGAGGAGAAGGAGGAAGAAGAGGAGAAGAAAGAGAAAAAGGAGGAGAAGGTGGAGAAGAAATAGAAGGAGGAAGAAAAGGAGAAGGAGTAGGAGCAGGAAGAGGAAGAGGAAAAGGAGGAAGAAGAGGATAAGATGAGGGAAATGGAGGAAGAAAAGGAGAGGGACGACGAAGGGGAAAAAGAAGAGGAGGAGGAGTATACTCATTTCAAGTAAATGGTGTTAAGTTAATGGTTTTAAAAATCATTTCCATGCTTAAGACTTTAGACGTCAACACTACCTAGACATATAATTAAACTATAGCTGCAACCTTTTTTAATCTTATTTCAATTGTATGTAGCTGCCTAATCTCAAAAGAGCTTAGGTGACCCAGTTTCCACACCACGGTAAGCTGTTAGGCTAGGCCGTAGGGTCTCAGCGCGTTCTTTTTGTTAACCCAGAGCTTCACCAAGAGTCCTAACCTCTGGGGTAGGCTGCCCCAACCATCGCAGCGTATGGTGATGGCCACTCCATAACAGATTTGCCACCTCCCAATTTTTTCCCCTTTGACAAATGTAAAGGGTTATTTACTCGGTGAAGCCTTTCAATTAACCCTTTTTACCATTGACAAAGGATATTTTTCTTTTATATGTTTTTTTGTCTCTGTCAACCCGTTCATTTTAAAAGTCATCAGGCCATTTACTAGGCGAACCGTTCATTTTAGCCTACGACATTTTATTTACTAAGAATGACAGAGATTTTTTAATTTTTTGTTATTTTTTTGTCAGATTATAGTCCGAGGTGAAAGGGAAATTAGGTGACATGGAGGATAACGCAATGTTTTACGATTCTTAGGCCAACCTCCGTACCAGCCCCTGGACTTATGGATTTTAAGCCTGCCTGTTGGGCGAGTACACACACACACACACACACTCACACATAGGGAGGATAACGCAATGTTTTACGATTTTTAGGCCAACCTCCGTACCAGCCCCTGGACTTATGGATTTTAAGCCTGCCTGTTGGGCGAGTACACATACTCATATACACACAAGGAAACACCTCGAACTATAATCTGGTATTTAAGGTGAATTATATATTTTTAATATTTATATTCTGATATAAAATTGCATTGTTCCAATTTACTTTACTTTGATACATATTCCAACATTTTATTTGGAAGCTATTCTGGAGAAAGTTTAAGAGGAATATCTCATGTTCATAGATGCTCAAGGATTAAACTTGTTTTTAGGTAAAATGATTAAGGGTTTAATGTATCAACGATACCTGCTTGGTATGGAAACGGTTGTCACTTCAATTTTTAAAACACCGGTCATTGATTCTATTTTAGCAAATATACTGTCAAAGTAATTAGAAAATGATGCTGATGTAAGTGTTGCAATAGGAATAAATGGTATATTACCAGATGTGTCTTCATATGTTAATAACGCCCCAATAAAACATGATGGGGGTGTGTCTTCTGTAATTATTCCTATAATATGGTCTGAAAATGCCCTTGGCCATTCCAACACATCTATTGAATCAGTGAGAAAAAACTGAAACTCTGAAGTTTTAATACCAAACCTCTTACTTTCAATTATGTCTTTTCTAGACAGAAACCTCAGAAATACAGCCATTACAAGTGAGGAGATCACCAATGATACGTCTGTTCTCGCTGACTGTTACCGGTAAAGTGATTAAAAACATACTATGACACCCACCTATGTAAGGGTCAATGCTCCTGTTTTTTGTATCCATAGGGGAGAGTATCATGATCTCCTTCGTACTTTCTCTTTGGACCAGTTACCTTAAACTGTTTAACTTCATCTGTTGTTACAATATCTCTATATTTTGTTCGTCTAATCCTGTGCTCATCAATTTCAACGATTTTAGAAGCTTCACTTAAAACCATCTCTTTTAGTTTCCCAAAATTCAAAATTTTTGATGTTTTAATATTGAGAGTAAGCCCTTTGATTTTACAAACCGGGATAAATTTCTGTTGATTTGTCGACCAGACAAGGTACGCGTATGTTTTAGGCCCCCCAGAGACAAACTCAGTAATGTATGAGCCGGGTCCATACTCTACCAATTCATCGGTCATTTCGCCGAGGTAATCTCCTGTAGGCACCCTATACAGCCCTTCGTGGTAGTAATATATAATACTATCTGTATCCCAATATAGTACTTGATCTCCTAAGGCATCAAGGTGTTCATACAACTTTAGTCTAGCGTGAGCAGTAGTGAAGGCTGCCATAACTACATTTACAGTTCTTAAAGACTCACTAGCCTCTTCAATATTTTGCCAATTTACTAGCACAACATCTTGGTTAATAGCCTGAAAGTATTTTAACTTACCCTCAGGATTGGTTAATAACCGAAAGAACTCTTTGGCATCTCGGATGATTGATGTTTTCATCATATTTTCCCTTTGCCCAAATTTACCCCAAAAACTGTTTAGCATCAATTTTGCTACTGATCTTAAGCCCCCATTTTTAACAATATGTTCCTTTGTCATTTCTATACCTTCACGCTCAAGAAATTTTGCAATGTACTGTTTCTTATCCTCCTCAGTCTTAGACCACCCAGGGTATCCAGATGCCTCCTGCTTTAGTTTTAAAAATTTATCAATAAACTCAGTGAATAGCCCTCCTTTCTCATATGTGGCTACCTCATACTCCCACAACTCATACATATCCTGTATAATGTAGCCTTTCTCTACAGCCTTCCTAATCTCATCCATTGTCCACGTCCCAACCAATGCTCTATCTTCACTCTCGTGAAAACAATCCCCCTGGTACATTATTTCCCCACATGTTCTGCAAAGAACAAACATCAATTTATCATGAACACGTGTTGGTAAAACTGGATGATACAAGTTGAAAGGAGGTAAGATCTTGCATTTCAACAGTCCATCTACTTCCATACCTCTCTTTCTACATTCCTTATTACCAACATATATAGTTGGATGACCTATAGGATATTTACAGTATTTATTTACAAAAGGATATAGCGAGCAAACATCGACGTATTGAATAGTCTCTCCAGGGCCGCATTTATGGTAAGTTTTTGCGTTTCCTGTTCTACCTCCAAAGAATGCGTCTCTAGGATTTAATGGAAGTGTACTTAAAATAGGTAATTTGTCTAGATGGTTGAGTTTTTGATCCTTTTTCAGCTTATGGAATTCACATTCCCACATCTGCACCACATCTCCGAGCTTTTCAATTTTAGCTTTGGTTCTCTCGTAACGGAGATGAAGTGAATCAGAAGGGTCCTCTTTTAATGGGGTATCGCGATTATAGGGGAAGCATTTAGGGCACCCGTGCCAGTAACATCCGTGGAACTCGTATATGTTTTCGCCATCAAACCCATCTACTTTCATCCCCTTTATAACAACCTCTTTACTACGTCCAGCATGATTGATTGTCACCCCACGTCTTTCCTCCTCCCAGGTAAGCCACTGTAGAGCAACAGCTGATTGGGTAGAAGACCGGTAACCATTTTTAGGGATCAGACCGATTGTATTTGGTTTTAGAAAGTTACGGCGAAAGGCCAGATTGCAGGCACTAGCAATTGTTAGGGACTCAAGAAATGGATCTACATTACATCGTTCAAGTAGCAATGATCTAAATTTGATACATGCCTGAGCTAAAATGTCAACGTCTGACATGCAATATTCCAATAATTCTTTTTTTAAATTAAATTCATACTTTTTAGCAGCCTGTTCATTGTACCATTTGTCAAAGTCATTATGGGATTTCTCAAACATGGATTCGGGACAGTAGTACTTTTTATCAGGCATAGGGCCTATGTAATTTTGATTTGCTACTGTATTGAACAAATGTGGGAAGTAACCTTTCTTCTTTTCAGGTGGTAAGTCAAAAGCTTTCGGTAAGGCAGATAAGGACATGGGAAAGTAGCTAAGGGAGTCAATAAATCTAACGTTAGCCACCTCCATCAAAATAATTTTAGTTCCTCTTGGGATGATGTTTGGTGTGAATTTTGTTTCTTCAAGGATATACCTAAGTATAAATTGAAAGTCAAACCCTTGTCCGTTGTGTGCAATTACACAGACGTTTTTGAATTGTTTGCGGGCTTCCATTACATAGTTCATGAACTGCCTAACAGGATTGCTATCAAATATTTTATAACGTTCCGAACAAGATTCACATTCACCCCCATTGATGCATTTGAAACAAAACTGTTGTGAAACACATAAATTCACTTTATGTAACTTAGTCTCGGGATCTGAGGGTAGGGACTCATCTTGGCGTGTTTCCAGATCAAAGAAAATAAATAGGTAGTCACGGTCTTTTGGGCTTTTCTTGTCTATCTGAATGTAACATTTATGATTGGGATCTTTAAATGTACCACAAGGGTGACAATATACCTCTCCACACACATGAGCCGATTTACGTTTAGTCGGGAATATCATTTTTTCACACCCTCGGCAGAATTTAATTGTTTTACAAATCTGTCTCTGATGGGCAATAAAGCACCGTTCATTTTTGAAAAATCGGTTACAATAGCGGCAAGATATGCCGGCATCTTCCTCTACACAAGGAGGTGAGAAGGTGTGACAAGATGGACAGATGTTCGAGCAGCGGTGCTCACCTTTATGCTCATAGGGTATGTGACATGCGTCACAAAAGTAACCACAGGCAAAAGCGGCTGTTAAGTTTGTAATTACATTATAATGGTTATCATGGTACAATAAGTTGATTTTAAACTTTGCTTCACTATTACCGCCAGAGAAATATACATTCCGGCCTTTGCTATCGTAATTATACACAGTTATTTTATATTTCTTTAAGTGTGCCTGGAACTTTTCAAGTTCAGGGATACCTGACCCCTCTTTAGGCATTTCAACTCTAGCTTTAGCTATAAGTTTTTTTGCCCTAATTGTCTGTCGCAAGCACTTGTCTTGACGAATACCTCGAATTTGAGGATCCATTTTTACATATGCTTTACCCACTACTATTGCTCTAGCTAGACATAAGTTGTCAGTGTTATTTATTACTACTATCCCCTTTCTTGCTTTACATTCTTCATTAAATGAATTGTACATTCCCGAACGCACTCTACCCCTGCCTACAGGAACATTGACTCTAGAAACACTTACTGTAAACGTATCACTACTAGTAACTGACTCTGAGTTACTTTGAATGATACCCCCAAAAATAGCCCATAATGAATCAGCTGTAACCTCGGAGGCTAGTTGTGGAACAACATACCCAGGTTCTTTAGATTTCAAATTAATAGAGGTAAGAGTAAACCCTAAGTAGTCAGTTGGTGAACAGTCGTGTTTAGATTGTTCTACTATTTGCTCAAGGCCCTTGCGTATCCACTCTAATTCAGATACACCTTCCGGAGGTTCAGTAAATTTAAAGGTAGTTTTCCATCCATAAAGCCTAAACTTTGGCACAAATGTTCTGTTTTCATCGATAAAAGTAACGGGGCCGGTAGATTTATGAGAACCTTTTTGGCAAACTCCGTCACAGGACTCCATAATATAAATGTCTAAGGATAAGTTAAGAGCTCAAAACACGTCTATCCCCAGCAAAGTCAGATGATAGTCTAAAGTAGCTGGTCTATCCACGCTATATATACGGTACTATAAGCGACGGTGCTGCCTCCAGTGGCAAAACATCAAACTACAACGCAACTCAAACTAGCGACTCTAGTGGTAAAACATGGAACTATGGTGACAACACCACCATTGTTTGATTTTATTATTTTAGTTTGTTACCAGTTGGTGTTGTCACCATAGTTCCATGTTTTACCACTAGAGTTGCTAGTTTGAGTTGCGTTGTAGTTTGATGTTTTGCCACTGGAGGCAGCACCGTCGCTTACAGTACCGTATATATAGCGTGGATAGACCAGCTACTTTAGACTATCATCTGACTTTGCTGGGGATAGACGTGTTTTGAGCTCTTAACTTATCCTTAGACATTTATATTATGGAGTCCTGTGACGGAGTTTGCCAAAAAGGTTCTCATAAATCTACCGGCCCCGTTACTTTTATCGATGAAAACAGAACATTTGTGCCAAAGTTTAGGCTTTATGGATGGAAAACTACCTTTAAATTTACTGAACCTCCGGAAGGTGTATCTGAATTAGAGTGGATACGCAAGGGCCTTGAGCAAATAGTAGAACAATCTAAACACGACTGTTCACCAACTGACTACTTAGGGTTTACTCTTACCTCTATTAATTTGAAATCTAAAGAACCTGGGTATGTTGTTCCACAACTAGCCTCCGAGGTTACAGCTGATTCATTATGGGCTATTTTTGGGGGTATCATTCAAAGTAACTCAGAGTCAGTTACTAGTAGTGATACGTTTACAGTAAGTGTTTCTAGAGTCAATGTTCCTGTAGGCAGGGGTAGAGTGCGTTCGGGAATGTACAATTCATTTAATGAAGAATGTAAAGCAAGAAAGGGGATAGTAGTAATAAATAACACTGACAACTTATGTCTAGCTAGAGCAATAGTAGTGGGTAAAGCATATGTAAAAATGGATCCTCAAATTCGAGGTATTCGTCAAGACAAGTGCTTGCGACAGACAATTAGGGCAAAAAAACTTATAGCTAAAGCTAGAGTTGAAATGCCTAAAGAGGGGTCAGGTATCCCTGAACTTGAAAAGTTCCAGGCACACTTAAAGAAATATAAAATAACTGTGTATAATTACGATAGCAAAGGCCGGAATGTATATTTCTCTGGCGGTAATAGTGAAGCAAAGTTTAAAATCAACTTATTGTACCATGATAACCATTATAATGTAATTACAAACTTAACAGCCGCTTTTGCCTGTGGTTACTTTTGTGACGCATGTCACATACCCTATGAGCATAAAGGTGAGCACCGCTGCTCGAACATCTGTCCATCTTGTCACACCTTCTCACCTCCTTGTGTAGAGGAAGATGCCGGCATATCTTGCCGCTATTGTAACCGATTTTTCAAAAATGAACGGTGCTTTATTGCCCATCAGAGACAGATTTGTAAAACAATTAAATTCTGCCGAGGGTGTGAAAAAATGATATTCCCGACTAAACGTAAATCGGCTCATGTGTGTGGAGAGGTATATTGTCACCCTTGTGGTACATTTAAAGATCCCAATCATAAATGTTACATTCAGATAGACAAGAAAAGCCCAAAAGACCGTGACTACCTATTTATTTTCTTTGATCTGGAAACACGCCAAGATGAGTCCCTACCCTCAGATCCCGAGACTAAGTTACATAAAGTGAATTTATGTGTTTCACAACAGTTTTGTTTCAAATGCATCAATGGGGGTGAATGTGAATCTTGTTCGGAACGTTATAAAATATTTGATAGCAATCCTGTTAGGCAGTTCATGAACTATGTAATGGAAGCCCGCAAACAATTCAAAAACGTCTGTGTAATTGCACACAACGGACAAGGGTTTGACTTTCAATTTATACTTAGGTATATCCTTGAAGAAACAAAATTCACACCAAACATCATCCCAAGAGGAACTAAAATTATTTTGATGGAGGTGGCTAACGTTAGATTTATTGACTCCCTTAGCTACTTTCCCATGTCCTTATCTGCCTTACCGAAAGCTTTTGACTTACCACCTGAAAAGAAGAAAGGTTACTTCCCACATTTGTTCAATACAGTAGCAAATCAAAATTACATAGGCCCTATGCCTGATAAAAAGTACTACTGTCCCGAATCCATGTTTGAGAAATCCCATAATGACTTTGACAAATGGTACAATGAACAGGCTGCTAAAAAGTATGAATTTAATTTAAAAAAAGAATTATTGGAATATTGCATGTCAGACGTTGACATTTTAGCTCAGGCATGTATCAAATTTAGATCATTGCTACTTGAACGATGTAATGTAGATCCATTTCTTGAGTCCCTAACAATTGCTAGTGCCTGCAATCTGGCCTTTCGCCGTAACTTTCTAAAACCAAATACAATCGGTCTGATCCCTAAAAATGGTTACCGGTCTTCTACCCAATCAGCTGTTGCTCTACAGTGGCTTACCTGGGAGGAGGAAAGACGTGGGGTGACAATCAATCATGCTGGACGTAGTAAAGAGGTTGTTATAAAGGGGATGAAAGTAGATGGGTTTGATGGCGAAAACATATACGAGTTCCACGGATGTTACTGGCACGGGTGCCCTAAATGCTTCCCCTATAATCGCGATACCCCATTAAAAGAGGACCCTTCTGATTCACTTCATCTCCGTTACGAGAGAACCAAAGCTAAAATTGAAAAGCTCGGAGATGTGGTGCAGATGTGGGAATGTGAATTCCATAAGCTGAAAAAGGATCAAAAACTCAACCATCTAGACAAATTACCTATTTTAAGTACACTTCCATTAAATCCTAGAGACGCATTCTTTGGAGGTAGAACAGGAAACGCAAAAACTTACCATAAATGCGGCCCTGGAGAGACTATTCAATACGTCGATGTTTGCTCGCTATATCCTTTTGTAAATAAATACTGTAAATATCCTATAGGTCATCCAACTATATATGTTGGTAATAAGGAATGTAGAAAGAGAGGTATGGAAGTAGATGGACTGTTGAAATGCAAGATCTTACCTCCTTTCAACTTGTATCATCCAGTTTTACCAACACGTGTTCATGATAAATTGATGTTTGTTCTTTGCAGAACATGTGGGGAAATAATGTACCAGGGGGATTGTTTTCACGAGAGTGAAGATAGAGCATTGGTTGGGACGTGGACAATGGATGAGATTAGGAAGGCTGTAGAGAAAGGCTACATTATACAGGATATGTATGAGTTGTGGGAGTATGAGGTAGCCACATATGAGAAAGGAGGGCTATTCACTGAGTTTATTGATAAATTTTTAAAACTAAAGCAGGAGGCATCTGGATACCCTGGGTGGTCTAAGACTGAGGAGGATAAGAAACAGTACATTGCAAAATTTCTTGAGCGTGAAGGTATAGAAATGACAAAGGAACATATTGTTAAAAATGGGGGCTTAAGATCAGTAGCAAAATTGATGCTAAACAGTTTTTGGGGTAAATTTGGGCAAAGGGAAAATATGATGAAAACATCAATCATCCGAGATGCCAAAGAGTTCTTTCGGTTATTAACCAATCCTGAGGGTAAGTTAAAATACTTTCAGGCTATTAACCAAGATGTTGTGCTAGTAAATTGGCAAAATATTGAAGAGGCTAGTGAGTCTTTAAGAACTGTAAATGTAGTTATGGCAGCCTTCACTACTGCTCACGCTAGACTAAAGTTGTATGAACACCTTGATGCCTTAGGAGATCAAGTACTATATTGGGATACAGATAGTATTATATATTACTACCACGAAGGGCTGTATAGGGTGCCTACAGGAGATTACCTCGGCGAAATGACCGATGAATTGGTAGAGTATGGACCCGGCTCATACATTACTGAGTTTGTCTCTGGGGGGCCTAAAACATACGCGTACCTTGTCTGGTCGACAAATCAACAGAAATTTATCCCGGTTTGTAAAATCAAAGGGCTTACTCTCAATATTAAAACATCAAAAATTTTGAATTTTGGGAAACTAAAAGAGATGGTTTTAAGTGAAGCTTCTAAAATCGTTGAAATTGATGAGCACAGGATTAGACGAACAAAATATAGAGATATTGTAACAACAGATGAAGTTAAACAGTTTAAGGTAACTGGTCCAAAGAGAAAGTACGAAGGAGATCATGATACTCTCCCCTATGGATACAAAAAACAGGAGCATTGACCCTTACATAGGTGGGTGTCATAGTATGTTTTTAATCACTTTACCGGTAACAGTCAGCGAGAACAGACGTATCATTGGTGATCTCCTCACTTGTAATGGCTGTATTTCTGAGGTTTCTGTCTAGAAAAGACATAATTGAAAGTAAGAGGTTTGGTATTAAAACTTCAGAGTTTCAGTTTTTTCTCACTGATTCAATAGATGTGTTGGAATGGCCAAGGGCATTTTCAGACCATATTATAGGAATAATTACAGAAGACACACCCCCATCATGTTTTATTGGGGCGTTATTAACATATGAAGACACATCTGGTAATATACCATTTATTCCTATTGCAACACTTACATCAGCATCATTTTCTAATTACTTTGACAGTATATTTGCTAAAATAGAATCAATGACCGGTGTTTTAAAAATTGAAGTGACAACCGTTTCCATACCAAGCAGGTATCGTTGATACATTAAACCCTTAATCATTTTACCTAAAAACAAGTTTAATCCTTGAGCATCTATGAACATGAGATATTCCTCTTAAACTTTCTCCAGAATAGCTTCCAAATAAAATGTTGGAATATGTATCAAAGTAAAGTAAATTGGAACAATGCAATTTTATATCAGAATATAAATATTAAAAATATATAATTCACCTTAAATACCAGATTATAGTTCGAGGTGTTTCCTTGTGTGTATATGAGTATGTGTACTCGCCCAACAGGCAGGCTTAAAATCCATAAGTCCAGGGGCTGGTACGGAGGTTGGCCTAAAAATCGTAAAACATTGCGTTATCCTCCCTATGTGTGAGTGTGTGTGTGTGTGTGTGTACTCGCCCAACAGGCAGGCTTAAAATCCATAAGTCCAGGGGCTGGTACGGAGGTTGGCCTAAGAATCGTAAAACATTGCGTTATCCTCCATGTCACCTAATTTCCCTTTCACCTCGGACTATAATCTGACAAAAAAATAACAAAAAATTAAAAAATCTCTGTCATTCTTAGTAAATAAAATGTCGTAGGCTAAAATGAACGGTTCGCCTAGTAAATGGCCTGATGACTTTTAAAATGAACGGGTTGACAGAGACAAAAAAACATATAAAAGAAAAATATCCTTTGTCAATGGTAAAAAGGGTTAATTGAAAGGCTTCACCGAGTAAATAACCCTTTACATTTGTCAAAGGGGAAAAAATTGGGAGGTGGCAAATCTGTTATGGAGTGGCCATCACCATACGCTGCGATGGTTGGGGCAGCCTACCCCAGAGGTTAGGACTCTTGGTGAAGCTCTGGGTTAACAAAAAGAACGCGCTGAGACCCTACGGCCTAGCCTAACAGCTTACCGTGGTGTGGAAACTGGGTCACCTAAGCTCTTTTGAGATTAGGCAGCTACATACAATTGAAATAAGATTAAAAAAGGTTGCAGCTATAGTTTAATTATATGTCTAGGTAGTGTTGACGTCTAAAGTCTTAAGCATGGAAATGATTTTTAAAACCATTAACTTAACACCATTTACTTGAAATGAGTATACTCCTCCTCCTCTTCTTTTTCCCCTTCGTCGTCCCTCTCCTTTTCTTCCTCCATTTCCCTCATCTTATCCTCTTCTTCCTCCTTTTCCTCTTCCTCTTCCTGCTCCTACTCCTTCTCCTTTTCTTCCTCCTTCTATTTCTTCTCCACCTTCTCCTCCTTTTTCTCTTTCTTCTCCTCTTCTTCCTCCTTCTCCTCCTACTCCAGGTATAATATGTTTAATTACATATTTAGAAATTGAATACGCAACCTTTATTTTATTTTTTATCTTCTGTTCTTTATTTATCCTTATAATGGGTGTTCTATGTTTACAAGTCCGTAAAATGATTAGTTTTCATTGCTCTAAAACTAATTTCAAACACATAATAAGAAATAAATTTACTAAAATAAACAGTACAATCAAATTGTTTCTCTATAATCCCTGGTAGGTATATAACTTTTACTGTAGATTTAAGCAACCATATTAACCAATTCCCATCTGTACTCTAATTCTGTTGAAAAGTGTAACTAGTTGACCATAGCATTCAGAAATTATCTAGACATTTAAGCATAGACCTTGACAAGAGGTGATCAGGACAGTAGACTGTGTCCATAGAAAATAATCATTAGCACTATATAGGAATGACTAAATGTTTACACTATTAACCAGAGATAATACCAATTTAACATCAGTATAAAAAAGGATACATTAGAAGTTGTATACTGGTAAATCTAAACATAGAGCTATTATCAGTGCATTAGGTTCAATAACTTAAGTCAACATACATTCTAAGCTCTCCACTGTTGGGATATGACAGGTATAAAGAAAGATGTTAGACGATAATGCACAGGCAAAAATCATCAGGTAGTTAAAAAAGTATGTTTACAGTTACAACAACAAAAAGTCATAGACAGTAAATTAAACACTTAACAAAGCCATTGATATTATTACTATGTGGTTAGCTAAACAGAAAACTGTTAACACACAAGGATTATAACAGGTTTTAATGTAGGTAGCAACAAGTTATACAGTAAACAGCTGCTGAGGTGGTGCATAAATGTGTATGTTGATCCATGAAAATATCAACAGGAAGTTACACCAGAAACCACAATCGATGGTGATAAAGTCAACACATATCAGTATTAGTTATCATATGTACAACTCTATAAAAGTTATTGTGTATTAGAACAGTACAATTATTAAGTGTAATACAATGCAGTACAAGTAATAAGTGGGTTCAGTACAGTACAGATGTAATACAGTGCAATACAAGTGTAATACAATATATTACAAGTGTGATACAGTACAGTACACATGTAATGTACCAATTTCAAGTTACAAGGATACAGGTAATTAATTTAAATCAGGTTACATTCATTACCATAAACTTGGTAAATTACCCTATTTGTTTCTTGTTATTCAACGTTTCAATAATTCAAGCACAAGTGATAAAGCTTCATCAACACTAGTTTAATTCCAAAAATACTTGTTTTAGACTGTATACATAACTAAGGTTCAAAGTTAAGGTTATGTCACAGCTGATTAATTTGGCAGAAACATATTACACAAGAAATACCAGATATGAAGATGGGTATTAGTAAGATACAAACCTATAACCTCTGGGATCATAGTTCACACTACTCCCACTTCAATACTAAAACTCAAAGTATTAACCCAACCAGATCGGTGACTGATAGGATTCGAACCCACAACCTCTGAATTGAGGTAGTGCATAGATATAAAAATTCGGATGTTATGCCAGAAAGATGAAGTCATTCACTTATCAGATTTACAACACTCCACAAAAGTGATAGTATATTAGTTGGGTGTATTAAAATACATTACAAGTAATAGTAAAAAGTACAGTACTCATTTTTTAATATGTTGGTGTAATCTTTTGTAGTAAATCTTCAGTGCCGGTTCGTTAGTCTCATAGTAATAGTTAAATTAAATGTTACAGTGATACAGATAAGTCTGTAATGGTTACCATTAATAAATCATTTAAGTAAGGTTATCGTCATTAATATAGAACAAGCTTTATCAGGTATTCTGTAGATGCTTTGTTAGTCAATATATCATTAAATCAAATTACACTGGGCAAATTTCATCGAGACTAGCGCTCCAGTGTCACAAATATGAATGAATAGACTTGGTATAATACAGAAAGTGAGGTTATGTTACAGATACAATCTTGGCATGGAAATTCACAGCTGATTAATTTAGCAGGTACATGTTACAAAACCATAAGAAATACCGGTTATGAAACAATTAGATATACTAGTAGGGTTTAAGCCCTAGACTAAACCACTAAACTCTCTATACCATACTAAAACTCATTTTGACCAAGAATGAAACAATCAGTGGCTGGTAGGACTCAAACCCTCAGCCTCTGAGATTGAAGGTCTACACTACTACAGCTACAATACAACATCATACCAAAATCAACATATCACCCCGACCGGAAATAAACATTTAGTGACTAATAGGATTCGAACCCGCAAACCTCTGGGATCAAAAGCTCATACACAGACAGGAGACTACAATACAACACCGAAAATCAACATATCACCCCAACCGGAAATGAAACATTTAGTGACTAATAGGATTCGAACCCGCAAACCTCTGGGATCAAAAGCTCATACACAGACAGGAGACTACAATACAACACCGAAAATCAACATATCACCCCAACCGGAAATAAACATTTGGTGACTGGCAGGATTCAAACCAACAAACCTCTGAGACCAGAGGCTCATACACGGCCAACTACTAGATAGAAACATTATTCAGATTAAACATCATTCCAACAATACATAGCATATATGAAATGACCACGTTGGTATCACCATAGATAAAACATACTCCCTTAGTAGATTTCTCATCCTTATGGAACAGCTGAAGACAATTTTATTGTTAGTTCTGTACGGTTTATGTAGAGGTCGTCTTTTGTTTACAATTTTTTCCCGTTATTACAGCCATTTAAAACATCGTTTAACCAAATAATACGATCTAATCATAAACAATAACTTTTCCCCTAGTTATATAACCAAACAGCAAAGCACAAATCAAGAAAATAACCCTAAAATAATAGAAACAAAGTTTCGTCGACACTAGCGCCTTTGTGTCACGTACATGAACTAGACACGAAAAACGTGCTTCAAAATTTACAATGGGATGAGAAGTATACTTGTGTTAGTTAGTCTATGCCGTCTATGGTATCACTTAGCAAGAGTTGGCGGTATCACCTAATTACAGAGGTTATATAAGATGGCGGGAACCTACGTATGCAATACGTAAAGTGAGGCTTGGCGGGAAGATGAGGTTACGTTGTTTGGCGCGATAATAAAAGTGAGGTTATGTTACTTGGCGGTAAGGTGTTTTTTTTCATTTAGCGGGAAGGTAAGGTTTTTTTGTTTGACGTGAAAATAAAAGTTAGGTTATGTCACTTGGTGTGTAGATAAGGGTTTTTTTCGTTTGGCGGGAATTGGCTAGAAGGTAAGGTTTTTTTTC